TTCATTTATGCTTCCCTCTCCTCCCCCCCCCCCCACAAAAAAATTAAAGTTTGGTGTTATAATGTTTTCTATCTTTTGTTGTTCCCTTCCTATATTCAGTACTTACTTGCAGCTAAAGAGGATTTTTAGTATATAAGTTTATTTCTTTTTTATGATTCCGCCTCGTATTATTCTGTATTTGGTATTACTTAGCTTGATTTGCATGTAAATTATAAACTTTGGATGACATAGAAAGTATTTGGAAAGATCTTTGTCATTTTAAGGTATATTTATGTGAATATTCACAAGTTTACAAGCTCTAAGGAAATTTTTGTGAAAAATGAACAATATTAATACTAGAAGTAAATTACCTTTGAAGCTTTGTACAGTCAGTTTCACTTTGTGTTTTAGTGAATGCTCCTGAAGAAGCTGTGTAGTGAAACGTTGAGTGTCTTTTTAAATAGACACAACATTTTGGTGATAAATATTCAAAAACGTGGTAATACCAAAAATATCTTTAATACAGACATTTCAGAATTCCCTTAAATTCCATCATCAGCATTAGTATCTAAAAAAAAATTAGTTCATAATATTCGAACTACAGAAAACAACATTAGCATTGATCAAGTTTTCATATTCAATCAGAAGTTTAGAAAGAACAGATTTAAATGGTAACAAACAAAGTAATAACATTGTTAAAAGAAACTATTATAGAGAAAGGCTTAAATATAAGTATAAACACTATCTTCAAAATAATAGTAAATATCAAATAAAAACACTGAGAATCCATAATTGATTACATTAATGACAACAGGGAGGAGTTGGTGTTATTATTAAGTGTTGAGTGATCATTTAAAATGGAGAGGCTTTCTTTAATAAAGAGTTCGTAATACGTGGTTCCGGATTCAAGGGTCTTAAAGCTTTCTAAAAGTATGGAATGGTTGTTATTCTCACTCTGCAATCAGATACAAGACTTGGGTGGATTATGTAGCTTACATCTTGCTGAAATTCCCATGTGCTCATGTGCAATTAGTTTTAGGTGACGTGTAGTTTTACCAATATAGGTAACTTTACTGCTACCACAAATGTATTTATATTTGACCCATAAGTACATAGGAATGGGTAGTGTGTCTTTGGTTTTAAACCTATATTTGATTCTAAATATTGACGTAAATACTAAACGTAGCTTAATTTGTGGGTAATATATTTTGATTATTTTTTTCAATTTGATATTTGAGTTTAAAACTTTGTTTGATAATGAAAGTAATGATAAGAACTAGTGGATATTTTGAGATAGTGTGTGACTTTTTGGTAGGTTCTATTTTATTTGTTAAAAATTATCATGTGATAGAGTGTAATAACAGTGAAATATATTTGCAAGGGTCGGATCTAGAGGTGATCCCTCTATTCTATAAATTCTTTGTTCCCATGCTACAAACTTACTAAATATCTTGTACCTGCATTAAGCTCAACAAATTTAATGTTAAATACCACTTGAGGAAACAATTAAAATAATTAAACAGTTATTCCCTACCAAAAATGCTCTGCACTTTAACTCTAACCATCAATAATTTGAACAGCTTCTTAAATTGGCCCTCAAGGACAATCACTTTGTTTTTAATGTTATCTTTATGACCAGATAGACGGAGTGGTGATGGGATCACCTCTAGGTCTGAGAGGGCTAGAAAGAGGTGAGGGCTATGATATCAGTAAAATGAGAAATATAATTGACAGGAAAACATGTACAACAGGCGTAAAACATAAACATAACTTAAAATCTATGAAGTATGAGTATTATGAATAAAATTGAATTCAAAGCAGTTGTGGAAACTGATGATTTTTATATTATGAGTATTACTGACACTTGGTTGGATATGAACAATTTTGATGAGAGAATTTTTTTTAAATCCCTGTCTACAGATTATTTACTACAAATAGAGTATTGAAAAAAAAAATGGGAAGAAAAGCTTTATATGTGAGGAGTGAATTGCATCCTGTTGAGTTGGAGCATATTAAAAAAATATCACTGAGGTTGAGTCAGTTTGGGTTAGAATTAGTGGATATAAAGGGAAAAGTCTTGTAATTGGGATTTGTTGTAGACCACCAGGTCAGAATGTAATGAGAAACTTTGTGTAGCTCTGTGTTTAATAACAAACAACAACTTAATGATGTCATTTATTAAACGTGTATGCCGCATATTTTATCATACATTCCATTATATTGTTTCCATTCAAATCTGTTCTTTCTAAACTTCCGATTGAATACGAAAACTCGCTTAATGCTAATGTTGTTTTCTGTAGTTCGAATATTATGAAATAACTTTTCTTTTTTTTTCTTTTTTTGAGATATTAATGCTGATGTTGAAATTTCTAAACATCCTTATTAAAAACGTGTTTTGGTATTACAGTGTTTTTAATATTTATTATAAAACTTCGTTTTCCACCTGATGAATCAGTTGCAAACATTTTGATATTATAAGGTTGTTTATTTCTAGTATTAATATGTCTTCTGTATACGAATATGCACTACAGATATTAAATAATGAAAAATTAACATGTTTTTCTCAAATAATCTGTGTTATAAGTAAGGGAACATCTGCAACCATTGCTTTTCTTGGATGCACTTGAATCTAATTTCCTTTTTGTTGAATGAACGTGCTTATCCCCAAAATGCATATTTATCATCACCGTATATTTGGAACAGGAAAATATAAGAATGGACTAGCTAGAATTTTTTCTCAGGCTTCACTCTTGTAGAATGTTTGTGAATCAGTTGGGAAATCCCTTGACAAAGTAATAGAGAGAAATATTCTTCATTAATGTAACTCAGTGGTGGTTGGTGGTTCCTTCCTTGTAGTCTGTTACTTCTACATAACATAGATGAAAATATGATCTCTGTAACCTATTATAAATAGGAGAGACAGGTCCCTATTCAGAGAAAGATTGTATGAGCCCAGATAATACATTACATGGATAACTGCACTTTGATTATAGGACTATTGCTATTAAAATTACATATTAAACTTTATCTTGTCTATTATTTTCTACACTATAACTGTATACATGGTTCGTTGATTTGACTGACCTTGTAACCACCATAAAAAAAATTGGGAAATAATTCTAAATTACCCTTTTTTTCTCTCTGGAATGACAGCATATTGTAACAGGAAATCACAATTGTTTATATGTTTTTTGCACAAAAATCAGCAAACAACCATTTGTCTGATCTGAGTTTTTACATAATAGAAGAACATTATAAGCAAACAGAAGATGCAATTAATTGTATCGCAATAGGCTTGTGTATTTTACACAACCTTGTAACCATGGTAGTATACATGTTATGTTTTTGAAAGTACTTAATGTATCTAAATGAAATTTGACAAGCTTTTTTTGTAAACATTAAAAGTTTTTTTTAGACAAAAAATCAGAATTTTTGATTAAGTATTTTTACTTGAACTTTGTCCATGATTATATAGTGTCAGAGTGTTGACTGCTCTAAGTGCAAAGTGATCTTCTTATTAAAATTAAAAATAGTTCTCTTCATCTGAAAATTTCAAATTTCCCTAAATATCAAATGTTTTTTTTAAGAAAACTTTATCTTATCTATTATTTTCTACACTATAACTGTATATAGGGTTCGTTGATTTGACTGACCTTGTAACCACCATAAAAAAAATTGGGAAATAATTCTAAATTACCCTTTTTTCTCTCTGGAATGACAGCATATTGTAACAGGAAATCACAATTGTTTATATGAAATAGCTTCAAACTTGTAACAGTGTACATCTGTCTATACATAATTCTATTGTTTATTACCTTTTGAACTATGTTTAGCTAATACTCCTGCCACACAAGTTCACTCGGTGAACATGTAGCTCATGTTACCCTATCGAATTACCTAACATACAAGCTACTCATTAGCTGCTCGCGAGCATAACTTGTGAAGAAGTTTTATTATTATTCTTTGTCTTACTTAATAAGAAATGTAGTATTTACCAGGGTCTTCTTTCTCTTTGCTGTTGACTGTCAGTGAAACCTAAGCCTAATTGTTATACTAATGGTACTACCACACTAAATAATTTTTTATTTAATTAAATACTGTACCTAAGAACACATAATTATAACATGTAAAAAATAGACAATGTCCTATAACTATCATAGCATTTTTGGCTTTCCAACTATGCAATACGACCCATTAATAATTCAGCTAAGCTCATCACTGTAAGTAATGAAACTTTGATTATTGAACCCAAAGGTCAGTTTAATGTTGGACAGTTGTCATATGTCTGTCTGAATCTGTTATATATTATATTATCTGTGATCTCTATAACCTATTATAAATAGGAGAGACAGGTCCCTATTCAGAGAAAGATTGTATGAGCCCAGATAATACATTACATAGATAACTGCACTTTGATTATGGGACTCGGAGGGCAGTTTAACAGTAGACAATCTTTCATGTGCTTATATGCAATGGTGTTGTGCCTGTAGGTCACAGATAAGCATGAGTCCTCCCCCCAAAGAAAAAGCTGTTCGTACACATTTTAATAATCCCAAATCCAGGTGTAAACAACTGATTGAATATGACAAAAATATTTTTTTATTTGAAACCAACAAGTTAATCAAAGTAACAGCAGAAATTAAATAATATTAAAAGTAAAAGGCACCCAACTTGTTATTTGTATGTTTTATTTTTCTAGAATAAAATATGTTTAACTTAAAAGCTTTGAGAATTTGAATGTGGAGACCTTAGGACTCATTTTACTGAAACTAAACTTGCTAATGAAATGTCCTTATAACAAACTTGTGTAGTCATGATACCATAGATAGCTGACATTTTTTCAGTAAGATTAAAGACTTGTGGTTGACGTATGTCTATTTGAAAGCTAGATATTAAACTGATGATTGAGATATATATCTGCAGTCATTAAATGTTTTTCTGTTACATAACTGTCTATGTACAAGTTTATCAGTTTAATGCCATTTCACATCTACCAAATTATTCTTTTTTGTATTTATTAGGAAGCTGTTACCATTCTCATTTGTACTTTGTTTAGGTTTTCCACTTTTGTGAAGTCTGGTGGTGAATCTTTTATTTTAGGACACATTAAAACAAACATTCAAGCAGATTCTGTTATCAAAATATTGGTAAGTTTATGTCAAACCAAGCAGCTATCTGTTACACGCTATCATCAAAATTGAAAAGTCTGAAGGTCTGTCATTCGTATATTGAAAGCATGAGTATGAGAAAAAAAGAAATATTTTGTCCAAGTCATTATTATGCAAATATTGATATTCAGAAACCAACTAGGTGTAATGATGTTGGTAGAAACTAATACTGGTAAGTTAAGGCATTCAACTGTGTTTTTTCCAAATAGCAAAAATTGTGTGATAAATGAATTTGATTTTTTTCATCCAATCGTGATAGGTTTTGATCATTTTTATTTTATTGCCTTTATTATAATTTCTGGTATCAGGTGTATAGTGATTTTAACCCATTAACTGTGGCAGGAGCATTTCAGTTGCCATTTTCTGACTCACAGATAAAACTGAGTTGCCATCAATCACAATAAAATGGTAATTTCCATCATTTGCATAGAGTTATAGTTATGCGACTAACGGATATTTCTGTCATCCGCAGTTAATGGGTTAATAGTATTAAATTACACACTTTCAGTCCTATTATTGTAGATCTACTTCAAAATAGCAACTTCAAATTGGTTAGACTTACCTCTGAAATAATGGAAGCCTTATCTTGTTTAGATGCTCTCATGCTGTCAACAATTATGTGTATAAAAAATTTTGAATATCCTTGACATTTCAGAGCATATGTGAACTTTCCCAAAATTCTCCATTCTGTTAACTGTTAACTTTTCTCACTATGAATTGTGATTTCATCACTTAACTGTTGCTTCAAATTTTTCTAACAGTATCAGATTTTCTACAGCTTCAACATATTCAAGATTATCAGATTTTTTACAGCTTCAACATATTCAAAGCATTAATTCTCACGTTCTTGTGAATTATAATTTGTGCCATTTTCTTCTTTTTTTTTGTTCAGGAAAGATTTTTCAGTTAACCACAATTCTGAGAAAGATTTTGAAGGTCTAATTTCTGTTTGTTTGCTTTTCTCAGGAGTGTTTTATTTTAAATCTCAAACTAATTTCTCTTATGCCTGATAGTCCTAATGTCATGTTGGACGATTCAGTTCTGTAAACTTTATATTTTCCATATTCTAATTTTTGGGGTCATGGCTGATGTGGTTACCATATTTCAGATATACTCTAAATGTTAATAGCCTTTTTGTGGGGTCATCTTCTACTTTTCTTACTTCGCAAGCTCTTGACCCTTAGTTTGATTTATTGTTCTGTTTTTTTTTGAGGAGTAAGAATTCTATATTGTTTTCTACTTTGAATTATTGTCAATTTTCTGCCCTGCACACTATTATTTGTCTCATTTTAAGTCTTTCTTTTTTCAGAGTATTTATTATTTATCCGCTACTCTCATTTTCCTGATTTCTTTAGTCAGGGTTACATTTTTTCCTTGCAGTCTTCCTTACTGTGGGTCTCACTAATAGTATCTTTAATGATGTGGCTCCTATGTTCTCTTGACACCTTTGTTTGTTGTGGTGCGTTATCCTTTCCAAACAATCAGCAGGTAATGTCTATCCTCCTGCCTTGTTCCTTCATCTACTTATAATTGACATCAGTGAATGCTACTTGTTCCTTTTCACCCTGCTATGTTCCCAAACATAGACATAAGCAAGGTGTGTCTTCTCAACCCACTCAGTGACTCTTTTGTTCTGGCTAACTCTCATCTCAATTGTTGGAGAGTGTTTGCCTTAAATCATTGGGTCATCTATGCAGTCATTGGTGCTGTGATCCTTGGGTTCAGATCCTTCAGTCTGGTCTTAATGTCTCTTCCTCTTTCTTCCAATCCAGTCACTCACAAGTTCTGGATCAGGAAGTCTCCAATCTCCTTCAGAAAAAACAATCTATATATTGTCTGTCACACTTCTCCATGTTTTTACTCCTGTTTCTTTGTGGTTTCAAAGATATCTTGACCTTGGAGACCTGTCTCATTTCACCTTTTCCTGAAGATACATCAAAACACCTCATTTTAAAATGTAATACATGAGTATGTTATGAAAGTTGTTTGTCATGGCCAAAGACCTATAGATCAAATGTTAGAATTCTTACACTAGGGGAGATTGAGGATATTTTAAAATATTTCCTTATAAAATTAAGAATGTAAAAACCTATATAAAATCAAAATTTGATTTATTAACTGTGTTTGGATGCCAAGTTTATTCACATATGAAATAAGTAATAATAAATTAGCATAATTAAATTTTGAATGTAACTCTCTAAAAAGTCATGACATGCATACTTTGACCTTCCCAGTAGCAAGAGAATTAAAGTAAATTATGATCAAATGAAAACCATAAAACATAATATGGAGATATTAGAAGGAAGTTAGTGTAACACACACAGAAGTATATGTATCTTACTTAAATAGCTTTCAATAGCATACAAATGTTAATTTGTATACAGTAAATTAGCAGCTAAAAACTATACAAATTGCAGATAGGTAAAGCAGATGTAGAATGGATGCAGTACATTTATTATAGCTAAACTAAAGCAGATGTAGAATGAATGCAGTACATTTATTTAAGCTAACTAAAGCAGATGTAGAATGGATGCAGTACATTTATTATAGCTAAACTAAAGCAGATGTAGAATGGATGCAGTACATTTATTTAAGCTGAACTAAAGCAGATGTAGAATGGATGCAGTACATTTATTATAGCTAAACTAAAGCAGATGTAGAATGAATGCAGTACATTTATTATAGCTAAACTAAAGCAGATGTAGAATGAATGCAGTACATTTATTATAGCTAAACTAAAGCAGATGTAGAATGGATGCATTACATTTATTATAGCTAATCTAAAGCAGATGTAGAATGGATGCAGTACATTTATTCAAGCTAAACTAAAGCAGATGTTGCATATCCAGTCAATTTCAGTCACATACACATGAAAAGCTTGTTTTACATTTACAAAGACTGCATTTGTACTGTAGAAATAGTGAACCTTTGTATTATTAGAATCTGTATACGTAGATTTATGTTTCTGTACATCTGTTCACTTACAAATATATTAATTAATTTGGATAATTTTTATATTACTTTAGATTATTTTCCTATAGTTGAAACTTTTCTACAAATATATCTAGTATATAAATCTGGAAAGTACATACATACATAGAAACTAGTGTGGTTAGGGCAACCACTTTGTCTAGAAAATGCTATGTATATCAAATAGATATTTTGTAAAACAAAGATCTCATTTTCCCATTCACTAACAAAACCGACCCAAGCTTGGTTTTTATTACAGTAAGCATATGATAAGACTAATGTAATAATTCATATTCATTATTTTGTATATCAGTATACTAAAAAAAAAGTGTATGAAAACATACCTTTGCGAACAATTGCAAATTGAAATAGTAGTAGACATTTTATGTGCAGTGTTAATACACTGGATAACAAAATGATTTACTAAAATTCATAGCAATAAATTCATCTTTTTTTCTTTATTAAGAAACACATGCTTGTTTGAGTTTTTAATAGCTGTAATAAATTATTACATTTACTCTGAGTATCAAATATGAACTAGAAGATGTTCTGTATATTTGCAGGATGTAGATGGAGAAATAATGTGGACCCCTTCATCTAACATTTATACCTGTTCTGTTACATCTCCAAAAAAAGAAACCAAACTTAAAGGTCTAAAAAGCTTTATCGCTTACCAGATCACACCATCAGTATGTATATGTAATACTTTCATGTTTTTATAAAATTTCTTATCACTTGCAAACGTAATGACTAACACACTCTTAATCTTTATATTAGTTAAGATTATTTTCCTGCAGGAAGAAATTTCAACATTCCTTATTTTTGAACTTTTTTTAAATGACAGTTTTGTTCCATATCTATAATTTTGTGATGGTTCTTTGCATCTCTCTATTATTTCTCACAGAACACTTTTTACAACTTCATTTTAATTCCTTGTAGATCTTTGTAAGTTCACATTGTTTCCTTGCCCCCAGACATCCATCAAAAAGGCCTAGGATTGAATCCCAGGCTACCACCATCATAGAAATAATACTTCTCAGACACACAAGTGTAGGTGCATATACTGAGGTTAATAATTCCTTATAAGAACAATGTTAATCACAGTTATATTTACACTATTACTTTCCAATAAATTTTAAACGTTTTTCTCCACTAAAACTTCATATTTTATCTGTTCATTTCTCTACCCTAACTGTATACGGGGTCAGTCAATTTGACCAACCTCATAACCACCACTGAAAAAGTAAGAAATATATCTAAATTACCCTTTTTTTCTTTCTAGAATGACTTCACATTTTAATAGGAAACTGTTTGTTTGTCCTGAATAGCTTAAATGTCATAACAGTGTATTATTGTTTCCTCTTGAATTTATTTGTTTTGTTGCCCTTTGAACTATGTCTAACTAATAATCCCACCACACAAGTCGTGTATATCACTCGGAGAATGCTTAGCTAACGTTATCATATCGAATTATGCAATGCACGAGCTAGGTATAAGCATATCTCATGAAAAGTTTGTATGTATTTTGTTTTCTTTATCTTACTTAATCAAACCTAATAAATTTCTCATTTTTACATTTTAATTACTTTTATAATAACAAATAAAGAATATGCATGAAAAACAAAAAATATAGTACTTAACCTGGGGCATCATCTTTTTGCTGTTGACTGTTGATGAAACTTGACTCACCTTTTTATACTAATGGTACTACTACTACACAAAATGATTTTTTAAAATTAAATAATGCACTTAAGAACACAGAATAATAAAACATAAAAACCAGTTAATGTCCTGTAACTGTAATCATTTTTATGGCTTTCTGACTGTGCAATAAGAGCCATTAAAAATTCAGCTAAGCTTATTAATGTATATCCTGTGGGAATAAAGTTTGGTATGGAAGCAAAATAGACAATTCTCTGTACAGAAAACAACAGAATATGTCATTTGATAGATTAAAACTTTGGCTTGCAATTGGTTATAAATAATGTAATATTAAATGTTACAAAGAACTATTGTCAGTTTGTGAAAAAGAGGATGTTATAAGTGGGCATGGCAAGTGGGTCTGATTTTCTAGTTTATGGCTGCATAACCAAATAGGATTGAAGGCTAAAAAAATTATCCTTTGCTTGAGTAACTGCATTAAATTCCATATATCTAGGAGGGGTGGTAAATAAATTAGAGAAGAGGGAAGACCTAGAGAGCAAATGCCACAATTCTTATAGTAGAGGAGATTGAGGATTTTTTTAAATATTTCCTTATAAAATTTATATTAAAATTTGATTTATTAATTGTATTTTGATGCCAATTTTATTCACATACTATGATAATAAAGTAGTTTAATTAGAATTTGAATGACATACACACTTTGACCTGCCAGTAGAGATAAGGCAAATGTCATTCCTACTATCTTGTTTGCATTGTTTCGGAAAGACTGATATTAGCCATCACTACATTTACTTCTATTTTTGAAAAGTTTTTTTCTTTACTTGTATAATGTGAATGATGAGGGAAAGCTTAGGAAAAGTCAAGGAATTTAATTTTAAAGTTCTGTATGCACCCTATATTAATTAACATACTTAGACATTTAATAAACGTTTGGATATTGGTGGTGTGGTGGTTAGACATATGGCCAATATTCATATCCATGAAGTGTTTACAGTCCCATTGGGTTTTTGTCTTTTACCCTGTACAGTAAGTTATTTGTATTTTATTGTCAATTTGAGAATGAGAATTGTGTGAAAATAATTGTTTTGTAAAATGTGAGTTTAACTAAAATATATAGGTTAAAAATTAGCATTATTAAACAAGGAAAAAATCTAATTTTCTCACAAAATTTCAGAAAAAGTTGTTGTTTAAACTCCAACCACCTTGAATATTAATCATATAAAGAACATACACTACCCAAATAATGATATAAAATTCCCACATACTTTAGAACACACATGCTATACTTACAAAAGGAAACCTTTACATGTGGTTTATTTCAAAACAAGATTGTGTAATTAACCTAAGTTTCAAAATGTTTTTCCTTGTAATAGTTTTTCAAAATTTCAATAAATATTGCTTCTCTGAGATTATTTCAAAATTTCAGCAACATCTTACAATATGTACTAAATACTTTAAGAACTTTCGAGCAGGTCATTAAGCTTAATTTATTTTTTTACCTTCCTTTTGAATGGAGATTTGTGAATCGAGATAAAATGTGATAGCTGATCTATCCATAATGTTACTTGAGCCCTATTCGTTACTCTTCTGTGATATAGTTTGTACCCAGGTTTTCTTATTTGTCTGATATTATGCATGGTATTTTTGTTTTGGACTTTGTTGTTTGTATAGTTGTAATATTAAAGGTGAGGAGAAGTTGTTTTTGTTTTCTTACCCTTAGCTGTTAAAATTGTGTGCTTAGATGTCTGAAAGCTAAGAACAAAACAAGAGACCCCCAAAGAAAGATATTGTACCACTGAAGATGTACATTTGTTTTAAAGCAGTATAGTTTATCATCATAATTTGTTTCTTTTCTAATGCATATAACAAACTGCATCATCCAGGATGTTTACTTGTAGGGAATCCAGTCGAATGCATCAGTTATAATCAGTTGGTAGTTAATCTGTCCTTACATCTAGATTTTTTGTACACCTTAATAACTCAGAATGAAATGTTAGATTTTAATGTTTCCATTACTGTACTATATATATATATATATATATATAGAGAGAGAGAGAGAGATAAGAAGGAGA